CCAGAATTTCAGATGTTCCTTTTACTTTAATGAAGGTTACAGTATTAAACTGATTATCACACAATTCATGAAATTTTTTAGGAGTAAACCCATCTCGACTTCCTCGCAATAGTAACTTAAATTTATACGGTAAATATAATTCTCTTAAATGGGAGAATTTACTATTAAAATCTATCTTATCAATCCATCTTGAAATCGTTGAAACAATATTTGAATTGACAATTTTTGTATCTACAAATGTATCAATCTTAACATTCCTAGGCAATAAAATGTTGCTATCAGCTGGCTCACTATCAGGATCTATATATGATTCTAATAAATCTTCATAAAGTTGATGCTTTAATAGTTTTTTATATGGACGAACTTTCCATAGAAAGTCTTTAGAAGATAAACTAAAAAATCTTATTAAAGGCAAACAATGCTGTAAAGTATTTTGCATGCCTTTGAAATCACTATCTGTCCAAGTATCAGGATCAGGATTAATGGTAGTATTCTGCGCTTGTCCCCATTTTAACACATATTCCCAAACTTCACTTTCCTTCATTTGCAAATCGTCTCGTTTAACAAGTGATATTAAGGATTTTTCGGAAAGCGAAACGAAATCAAACGACTTAAATATTCTCTCGGGTGATTTAGCCATTAAATCTGTACAAAATTTCTGCAGCTCCAAAAAACTATTTGATTGAAAACTTGTTTGATGAGTAAGTTCAAAGTGTTGTTCCATCCACCCTGATTGATTTTCAATTAGATATTTTTGTAAATAATCAACTAGTTCTTGGAGAAGAAGTTGATTAGCAGCTACCAAGACCTTAAGGAAGTCTGAAGCGTCTTGCTCATCCAATGAAAAAATCCCACCATAAATGTATCTAAATTACAAAAAAAAAAAAAAAAAAAAAAAAAAATCTTTTCAATATTTAAAAATATTAATTACATTTCATGTTTTTCAACTTACTTCAAAATAATTTGAAAGATTTTCGGTGAAATATTTGGCAACTTCAAATGGGCCAAGATATTATCATTATTCCTTTGTTTTGAACCTAAAGCTCTTCGTAAATATGGAGAACGATAGCATAAAATATTCATATGCGTACGGAATATTTTTACATTAGGATCTTCCCCAACCTCAATTGTAACATAATATTCATCATCCTCTAACAACTCAATATTATTTTGGCTTAACTTTATTAAAAATTGGTTTGACATTTTTTTTATTTTTAATTTTTTAAAAAAAAAAATTTGGACAATAAAATATTGTATAAATAACATAAATCTTCCAAATAAAGCTGCAGCGTGTTGATCGTTTTCCGGATACGCAAAAATTTTAATAAGCTAATTCGTTCAAAGCGTCTTACGTTACATCAAAATTTTCCTGATGTTATGAATTTTATATAATTAATTATAATTTTATGAATTTGATTTTAATCTATAAATTTAAAAACATCTGTAATAAAATTTCCAAAGAAAAGTTAATAAAATAATTAAGCCTACCATCAATTAAGAATATATAACCTTAATGAATAGTTTGAAATTTATTTTAAAATAAATCGATATTTTCATTGAAAAAGTATTTTTTTTTTTTTTAAAAAGCAGGTCAAATAAATGTAATGTTAAATATTTAATGAAATACATCATTAAATACATGATCTATCAGACGTATAATAAACCATCAATTTGTCTTGAAGTAATAAATAATAATAAAAAAGGATTACAAAGGCAAACCATTTTTCTTGCAATAATCAATAGCTTGTTTATATCGATTATAAGCGGCTAATCTCATATATCTTTCACCCAATGTTTCATCCTTAATACCAGATTTATCAGAGAAATATAAAGTAGCAGCATTAAACATACCAACGACTTGTCCATTTTCAGCGGCTTTGGTAAAATATAACGCAGCTTCTTTTATATCCTTTTGTACTCCAATGCCTTTAAATAAAAGACTACCATAACGTAATTGGGCTTCAGGAAATTCATCTCCTTCATCCGCTGCTTCTTTATATAATTCTGCTACTAATTCATCTTTTGCTACTTGGTCCAAATCAAGTTTAACTAAATTTTGTTGAATATAGTAGCCTTTCATAAATTTTGCTTTCACATTACCTAATTCTGCATATGCTTCAAAACATTTATAAGCTGATTTGATATTGTCTTTGTCTCCAGGAATTTTATGTTGTTTCGCTGCTTCATCTACTGTTAAATAATCAAAATCTGCATAATTTGGTATAATAATTTTATCTGCATCATCATCATCATCTAATAAAAATTCAGATTCAGAACGGTCTGACGTAACATTAACACGAGGTGATTTCTTATAAAGATTTTGTAGTGTGGTAAAAATCTTTGAAAATTGAGGCCGAAAATTATGATCGGGATGAACAGCTAAGATAGTTATATCACAGTAAAATATAATAGAAGGTTAGTATTTAAATATAAAGGACAAATTTGTTTATTTTTAAAAAATAAATAAATATTTTAATACATTTATCTGCAAGTTCTCGATATTCTTTTGGTACAGGGGAACCGAGAGAAAATTTTTCACGGTATTGTTTGATGCAAACTTGCTCTTGTATAACCATAATATCAGCACCAAATTTCTCATAAGGAATTTTTTCTTCGGCAATTTCCCAAAGAAGTATACCAAAACTATAAACTTCACACTTGGTATCATATTTATATTTTCCATATAACCTTTCCGGAGCGCAATATCGCATAGCTTCTAGTGTTGCTGTTTGATTCCTAGTACGCTCGGATACTGCTCGACTTGATTTAAAATTTGTAATTTTAGCAGTTTCATGATTGGTAATTAAGATATTTTCTGCCCTAATATCACGATGAACGATCTATCGAGACAAGTTTATCACCATAAGTAAATACAGGTTAGTTTAGATAAGAAAATTTCTTGGGGGATGAATAAATTAAAATATATATTACCGAAGCGGCGCTCAAAAAATTTAAGCCTCTAGCAATGTCAAGAGCAAGTCTTACTTTCATTTTAACTTCAAGTGGACCATGTTTTTGATAATATTCACGTAAATTGCCATAATCGGCCCATTCCGTCACCAAATAAAATTTATCATCATAAGTAGTCAAACCATGAAATTGAATAATATATTGACATCCTTTCAGTTTTTTTAACATTGTGACCTGATTTCTAATATTATTTTTATCATCTTCACTGCTATCCCTATCAGCTGCCAACTTTAATGCGACATAATCATTCAATCCATGTTTTCTTCTCTTAAATTTTCTTACATGTTCATTTTCTATGAGATCACCTTCTTCTTCAAAATCATTATATTCAAGTATCTCACTTTGGAAAACATCTGATATTGAATTATCTACTGTCATTTGATTCAAAGCAATGTTAAGAGCCTTAATTTGCACGACGATTTCTGAAACATTTTGATCCACGTCAGTTATACCGCTGCCAATATCTCTAAGGTACTATATAAAGACGTAAGAATTCTATAAAATAAAATACTTGTATTTATAAGAGTCAACTTATGCATAAATACATTACCTGAAATAACTCTTTGATATCAGACTTAATGATTTCATTCTCTTTAATTTCATTTATATTAAAATCAATCGTCAGGGTAAAATTCATTGATTGCATAATGGAATCAAATTCACTGCTTAATTTTTTAATATCACGTTCAATGCTTTTAGATCGAATATATTTGGATAAACCTGTTAACTGAGTTATTTCTCCAACAAATTTATGTATTTTACCAATTATACTAACCAAATTTTGCAAATTATAAAGATTTCTTACTGAAAAAAATTCTACATTCTCATCCCTACGAGTTTTTAAATTCCTTACGGCTGTATCAGCTATTTGGACTCTATCCAATAATATCCCACATATTTTTTTATTATGTTCTGCTTCTTGATATATTTTTTCTATTTTATTGAATATTTTGGCAACCTCTGTAATAATTGGTAAAAATCTTGCAAAGGGAGCTAAAGTTTCAGATGTTGTTTCTATTCCATCGTGGATTGATGTTGTATTAGAATGTAATTCTATAAGTTCTCCTTTATTATCATCAGTATTGATTAAATCAGTTACACTACTATCAATAAATGTATTTAATTGAACTGGTTCTTGTTTTGTATCAGAAATTTCTAAATTATGAATCTTAGAATCATGAGATATAATTCCTTTGCTTAATTTAGATTCATTGCTATTAAAATCATTTTCATTAATATTATCGATAAATTTATTATTTTGATTGGGAGAAATTAATTCTTCAAGAGATGAAACAACCTCCTGCACATTTGGACGTTCATTTGGTTCATCTTTCCAACAATCTAATAATGAAATCAAACTTAATTCTGTATATAAGTATGCACATATCATTAAAAAAAATACTGCATTCATTTACCTTTATATAATTTACAATATTCAATAGGAGTCCCATTAATTGTTTTTTCTCTTTTTCCGCCGATTATATTAATGATTAACCCTCCATCATAATCACCATTAAATGGTGAACGTCCACTTGAAATTTGCCACATAAGCACTCCAATGCTATAAACATCAGACTTTTTATCTAATTTATAACATGTATTATTTAAATGTTTTGGATCGATATAAGGTATTACTCCTAATATTTCTGGTGCATTATTTGAAATATCTGTAATTTTTCTTGCTAAACCAAAATCTGTTAATTTAATATTTTTCTGATGCACGAGTATATTGCTGGCATGCTACAATTGCATAGATAATATTAATAACACATTTGGCAATTAAAACAAAATAGTCAATTATATTACCAAATCACGATGGATAATATCTTCTTCGTGCAAAAATTCTACAGCACTTGATAGTTGAAGTGCCAACTGATATTTGTCGTCCCAATTTAGTTCATTAAAATGCTTTTTTAGATAAATTTTCAATGTGCCGCTATCAGCATATTCTAAGACTAATGAGTATACATCTATAATAAAAAGTATTTATAAATTAAAAAGTAATAGTATTAAAATTCAATAATATTTTTCTAATACTGACTTGGATTTGTCAATGTGATTCCATATATCCGTATAATATTTTCATGATTGTTAACTTTCATGTGCAGTTTCAACTGTTATAATATATTAACAAACATTTTAATGTAATTTTTTTTTTGATTGAAATAATTACAGCATATTTTACCTCTTCCACATTTTCTTTGATGACTTCTTGACTATTAAAAGATTTCAAAGCGAAAATACGTTTATTTTTCCAAACAACACGATAAACTTTTCCATACGCACCCTTCCCTATTTGTTTTTTAATTTGGAAATCCGAGTAATTATACAATTTTATATGTTCATTGGCAATTTCTTTCTCTAACCAACCAATATAATCTTTTGACATGGTTCTTTTTTTTATATTTTTTTTTTTTTTTTTTTTTTTTTTTTTTGCAAATTCTAACTATTTAGTCTGTTGATGTTCACAATGCAATGCAATGTGTTGTGTTACTGTATTTTATAAAATTATATTGATAAACAGCTGTAGTGGCCAGAACTGTGCGACATTGGACTCAATAAGTAATAATTAATAGTTATTCGCTACGAAGTGCCGAATAACTATTATATTGGGAAAATCAAATTTGATTCCCAATATTATTAGCTACCTTATAGGTAGCGG